AGCTTGGTAACTCCAGAAGATAAAACATATGATCAGTCCTAGAATACTTCCTCTAGATATGTAGCCATCTCCAACTTGAGTATTTCACACTTAAAATTGCCTGAAATAGTTCATTTGCTTCGTTGATTATGTTATTTTAAAGTGAAACTGTTTCTTGTAGCAAAATTCATATAGTAAACAGGCCAACAACTTAGCCTAAATTTGAATCCTGACCTCAGAACTTAGGTTAGTAATTTCTGATAAGTTACTTAACTTCTTTGAGCCCCAATTTCCTTATCTGTAAAGTGAAGGTAACAGTTACATCATAGGATTAATAAATAAATAACAGTAACTATATGTAAAGATGAGTAACAGAGGGGACATGTTTAGCGCTTTTAAATACAGAATGAAGCCAAAACATTTAAGAATTAGGCCATATTGTTTGCATAGACTTGTTCCCACACTTGAAACTATAATAGATCTCTAGAAATGGTTAAGTCAAGAGTGTCCTGTAGAAATTTCTGGTGCATGGGATTATTTATGACATCGTGTGAAGTTGGAACAACTAGAATAACCAGAATGGGGAGAAAAAGAGAAAAATGACCAACTTTTGTTTTTGGAGAAGTCTGTAAAGTACTTTCTGATAACAGGGGTAATAAAAGTGAGTATTTTGTATGATGTTTTGATAACTTAGAAAGTTTTTCACATAATTCTTTAGTTTGATTCTTTAAATATTTTGAGTACCTTTATTGTACTAACATTAAAGAAGAGTAAAAGGAAACTCATAGTTGACCAGCACTTTGGTGGTTACGTAGCTAACTTTGAGGATAGAAATTTCTCTTAAGTTTTCAACTTTAAATCTTACGCTCTTTCTAATTCAACATGCTGTTTGATAGCAGTTGTATTTCTGAGGAGGTATATATTTCAGAATCTCTATGGATGGGACCTGCATATATGTAACTTATTTTCTTCTGTGTTGAGATAGAATGCCTACCGAAGTGATTCTGGTGCCCATCTCTGGTTAGAAATCATTGTTCTCTTCTGCTTTAATTATTTTCCAAATGCTTAGGTAGGGCATCAGCAACACTTGAAAAAGGAAATAAAAATTTAGTTTCCTGGGACCCCTGGGGGTTTGGCGCCTGCCTTTGGCCCAGGGCGTGATCCTGGAGACCCGGGATCGAATCCCACATTGGGCTCCCGGTGCAAGGAGCCTGCTTCTCCCTCTGCCTGTGTCTCTGCCTCTCTCTCTCTCTCTCTCTCTCTCTCTCTCTCTCTCTGTGACTATCATAAATAAATAAAAAAAAATTTAGTTTCCTATTCACTATCTTTAGTGCCTCTCCATTTATAAGTGCTTGTGGAGAGCCGGAATCCAGTCAGACAATTTAACTTCTATAGTTAAATAGTCTTAGTATTCCCTTCTCAGCTTCTCTCATAACAATTTTGGCTAGTTAATTGTCTGCCCTCAATGTTTTTGCAGTCCTAAAATGTTTACTTCATATTGCTTATAGTAGTATTTTTGTGAATGTTTTCAATTGACTGGCTAAAGATTTTTTTTTTTCCAGTTTTTATTTATTTATCCATGAGAGCCACAGAGAGAGGCTGAGACATAGGCAGAGGGAGAAGCAGGCTCCCCATGGGGAGCCTGATGCGGTCTCAGTCCCAGGACTCTGGGATCATGCCCTGAGCCAAAGACAAAAGCTTAACCACTGAGCCACCCAGGTTCCCCAATTACCTAAAGATTTTTTTTTTTTTTTTAAGATTTGTATTAATCTTTTCCCAGCTGTCTTGAAGATGCTTCAGTACCCTGGATTTAGTAATTTTTCCCCAGTGTATTTGACTCTGAATATTTCACATTACTGAGCTCAAAACTGGTCTTTGAATGAAAGGACAGTGTCATAATGGATGAGAGAAGAGAATATTCTAGCAAACCCCCGTCATAGGTAAAAATCATGTTGCCTAGTGAATCTTAAAAAATGAAAAGCATTTTCAAACCTAAAAAGACCAATATTCTGGGAAGTTGCATTTTCAAACTTGAAAACTGCACGTTTACTATTTGAGACTGTAACTGGGGTTTTGCAGTGTCTAAACTGTTTCTTCACTCAGACTTATCAAAATACAGTTGAGCAGCGGTTATGATATGTTAACGTTAGCTTTTAATTTCTGAGCAGAGATCATTTCACTAGAAGCTATTAACAATGAATATTGGCTGCTTCTGCATTGGAATTTGCTTGGAATGTTCTCATATATAGGTGTACCTTTCTTAACATAGAATATATAGTTCTGATTATGTTAATTACATGCAGATTATATCTTTGTTGTACCATAAATAAATTTACTTAAAATAAAAACCAAGGCCTTCATGATATTAAAATTTTCCCAACAGGAATTGAGACTTGGTCATAGGTCACCATAAAAGTATTGTTAAGACACTTATTTTTTTGTGAACATTGCATTCAGAAGTTTGTGCTTAATGGATTTCTAGTTATTTTCATTTGGTGTTGACAATCTGTTACATAGTAATATATGGCACAAATATGGCAGTGCTTTTATTTTTTAAAGTTGGCTATCTCATTTTCTTCATATAAAGTAATGGAGATTATGTGGTTTATTAAATTTAGATGCAATATTAATATATTCCAAAAGGTAGAAATTGTGATACTGTATTTCGCCAATTTTAAGACACACTTCCTTTTCATACTTTTAACAGCTCTGGAAAATGAGATGCATCTTAAAATTGATCTGTGTCATTTTAATGGTAGGGTTTTTTGTTTGGGTTTGGTTTGGTTTGGTTTGGTTTGGTTTTGAGGGGCTTTTTGTTTTCCTTACCTGTGTGTAAACTACTGGTACATGTTATAATCATTGATGTCTTAGGCTTGATAAAAAGTGATTGATTTTTTTTTTTGAAGTTTATTGTAGAACTTAGACTCGTTATGATGTGGTATATCTTTGTGGTGAAAGAAATGATTTCTATGAGAATATACTGTATTATTTGGACTAACCTTTCCTAAGATCTTTTATCATCTCCTTCACATCCTATCACTGCTATCCTAGTGTGTCAAATGGCAAAACTGAAACAATTTAATAATGTGTTTGATGTACTTTATTCAAGGGAAGACAATCCATAGTTTGAGGGAGTACCTAGTGCCTTATGAGCACTTCCCAAGGTATTTTCCCAAGAGCGATTTCTATAAAATATTAGAAGAGGCAGCCCCAAAACAGGGCATGATTGGCTAGGAGGTCCTCCGGTTTTTTCTATGGTAACATAAGCTGCCTATAGCCTTACAGTGAGGTGTTTTCCATAAGTGCAGGATGATTTAGGTTTAGATTTGTGACATGGGTGGGGCCACTGGAGTGGCTTCCTTCTGGGTCCCAATATACCAATTAACAATCACTAATTAGGTTTTTTAAATTAAACTGGTTTCCCATCTGTGGAAAGATGTCCAGAACAATAAGAGGAAAATGGAGATCAAGAAACAAGGAAGAAAACATTTGGGATCAGGATTGGGATGGGTGGAGTGAAGATAATGGATGGGAGCTCCAGGGTGAAGAAGAGAGAAATGGGGATAGGACACTAGAGGGGAATGTTAATAAGAGCATTTTCCACTTACCCAGCTTTACTTATCCTGGTCAAGTCTCTGATTGTGATACATCAGCTTGTGAACTCCCCACTAGTTAGCTAGAATCATCACAAGCATATTCTCTAGATTCTGAATACAGGAACTCTTCTTGTGAGACCTTTCCTCACAGGGGGTGCTACCCCTCCAGCTTTACCGGTTAATCCTAGCATCTGCTGGTATAGACCCAGTAAGGTCTGTGTTTCCTTTTATGCATGCTGTCTCAAAATAAGTAACCAAAGGGGGAACTGCTTCTTAGACAATGAATTTTTCTACAAGGAACGATTACAGATATATGCACAATTAAATTCTTTGGTTTTATAAGAAGTGTGGGAGTACCAAAGACTGAATTTTAGGAAATTCCTACCTTGCTCTATCGTTCAGCATTTAGATAGAACTTGGTGTCGTCTTTGCTCTTTAGCCTATTTGATTTTTATTTCTACAGACAGTAATTTAGTTATACGTGGTATAAATTCATACTGCGTGTTCCTGCTTTAGCTTTCTATTGTCTACGCTTACTAAGTTCTCATACATTCAGCGGTTTCTCCGTATTCTCCAGCGATGGTGTGTTTTAGTTTTTCCTCATTTTATCTGGCTAACATAACTCTGTTTTAGGCAAGATCCTTTTAAAAATAAAGCTTTAACATTAATATAATATTTAAATTTTCAGTATAAAACATCAATTGAAGGAAACTTTTTTTTTTTTTTAAATCAGAAGGAATTTTTGCTTTGTAAAGGGTTTTACCATAGTAGTATTTTAAACACTCTGCAGGGCCCTCTGGAAGCCAGTCTATTTGCTGCCTGGTGTTGCCTTTTCTGGAAAAGGATTGAAAAGAACTGTTGCATGTCTGAAATTCTCAAGTTTCCAAAAGTCCCTTTCAGAATCTACACAAAAACTTTAATCTACCTTTGGATTTTCTTGAGTTAAGCAGACCTTTTTAAGAAGTCTCCTATTCAGAATGATCTCTTTGAATTACCCAATTTTGTTATTTTTTTAATTTTAAAAATTATAATAATTTTTCATGCCTCTTCAGCCATATTAGACTCTAATTTTTTTTTGAACTATCTTGGACACCAAATTAACATTAATTAGTAAGAGAAGGAAAATAAATTTCAAATTGCAAATTACAGTCTTGCTGATAAGTTTTATAGCAAAATCCTTTTCAAGTCATGATTCTGCACTGTTCTTGCTTACTGTAATGCCTCAATGAAATGTAAATGGAAATAAGAGATGCTGTCTATAAGTAAATAAATATTTTTCACTGACTTATGAATAGTATTTCAAATATGGGTGCTGAGTTTTATGTATTTCTGACAAAATATGTCAGTCACCACTCTTTATAAATTAGCGTTCTCATAATTCTTCTTTCAGTTTTATTGTCCTGAATTCATTTTCTCTTTTCTCAGAGGATGTACTGAGTAAAGATGCCGGGGAATGTGCAATATGCCTTGAAGAATTGCAGCAGGGAGATACTATAGCACGACTGCCTTGTCTATGCATATATCATAAAGGGTAAGTTTATTTTTATGTTAACCAAGTTGATATTAGAGTAAAAAGTGCTTCTCAAAAGTTTCAAACACATTGTCCTTAGGGCTAAAAAGTTTTCTTCTTCTTCTTTTTTTTTTTTTTAAAGTTTTCTTCTTAATTGAAACTCCCTCTCCCTGTTTCTTTAAAAAATAATGAGCTTTTTATTTCCTGCTAGAACTAAGATTTAAGCCCCAATCTGTTTGTAACCAAATAATCCACCATTTGTTAAACATTTACTATTACTCAGGTATTGTCTATAACAGCTTAGCTAGGTTATCTCATGTAAATCTTGTAACAATCTCATTTTATAATTGAGGGAATAAGCCGAGGAACAATAGGAAATCTCTCCAAGGTCATGTGGCTAGTAAATGGAAGACCTGAGATTTTAGCCACGTCTGTTTGGCTCCAGCACCCATCTGGATTCTCATAAAGTATTCTTGGTTTCAGAGTAACGCAGGACAATTTTTAGATTAAAAAATTAGTTAAGGTAAACAAAAAAATAGAAGACTGTAACATTTCAAAGCAGTGAAAGGAATAAGGTAGAATTTTATTTAAAGGCGGGAGTGGGGGAAAGCATAGAGAACATAATAAATAATACAAAATAAGGAGGCGAAAATAAAACTAGTATCAGTAATTTTAATAAATCTAATAAATAAGACAGACTTACCAGTTGAAAGCAGATTGAAAGATTGGGATAGGCTTTTGATGAGTGACACACTTAAACATAAGGATATAGAAAAATATGAAAGTGAAGATAGAAAACTATGTCTAGGCAAATATTAACTACAGGCAAACTGACAAAGCTAAATTGATATCAGACAAAATAAATTTTAGAAAAATATTACTAGTATGATATGATAAAAGTATATAAAATTTAGTTTTTTAGGGGATCCCTGGGTGGCTCAGCGGTTTGGCTCCTGCCTTTGGCCCAGGGCACAATCCTGGAGTCCCGGGATCAAGTCCCGTGTCAGACTCCCACCGTGGAGCCTGTTTCTCCCTCTGCCTGTGTCTCTGCCTCTCTCTCTCTCTCTCTCTTTCTCTCTCTATGTCTATCATGAATGAATGAATGAATGAATGAATGAATGAATGAATAAATAAATAATAAATCTTTTAAAAAAATTTAGTTTTTTAGTGAACCAAAGGACACAGTCTCAAGGTAAAATATTTAAAGAACTATCAAAAAAAATTGACAAATATGTCATAATAATGGAAAATTTCAACATAGTCCTCATTGAGTCAAACAGAAATACACAAAATGAGTCAAGACCTAGAACAATCAAGCAATACAGCTCACAGGTTTGTCTAATGGGTGTATGTATATCTGCACCTAGCAATTGATACATTTTCTTTTCAAGTACATATGAAGCATACAGAAATTAATGGTGTACTAGGCCATAGAGCAAGTTTTAGCAAACTACAAAAAATTGGTGCCATATAGAAAACTGTTCCTTGGCCAGTTATATGTCAGTAATAAAAGATGAATAATCTTCACACATGCTTCTAAGTAATTTGTAGATTAGGGAAGAAATGTAATGGAAGGGCCCCTGGGTGGCTGAGTTGGCTAAGTGTCGGATTTTGGCTCAGGCCATGATCTCAGGATCATGAGATCAGTCCCCACTTGGTCATAAGATTGAGCATCCCTGATGGAAACCTGCTTAAGATTCTCTCTCTCCCTCTTTCTGTCCCTCCCTCTCTGTGCATATATGCACGTGTTCTCTCTCTTTACAAAAAATTAAAATTAAAATTAAGGACTTAGCAGGGTTGCCAGATATGAGCTCAATTGAAAATTAGTTGCATTCATATCTCAGTAAGAAAAAATAACCTTTTTTTTATAGAATAATAACATTAACAGCCTCAGAAACTACAATAGCTGTGATGTTAAGAATACATGCTACAAAAGATACTCAAGATTGAAAACTTCACTGAAAGATACAGAAGATCTAAAGTTTAAGTATACCATCTTGTGGTTAGGAAGACTCAATGTCATAAAAATGTCACTTAACCCCAAATTATGTAGTTAATATTATCCCATTCAAATCTCAACTAGTTTTTTCATGTAATTTTACAAGTTTCTAAAATGTACATGGATGATATCCATATGGTAAGAACAGTCATACTCATGAAGAGGAAAACTGCTGGGGGACTTGCCCTGTACAAATATATTATAAGACTATTAATTCAGACAAATGTGAAATAGGCATAGGAATAAAGTCCATAAACACTTGTGCATATATGAGAGACAGCATAGCATGGAGTTTAAGAGCATGTACTCTTGGGAGTTAAGCTTTCCCCCCATATCCCAGCCCTTCCACTAGTTCATTGTGTGATATGTTATTTAGTTTTTCCCTCAGGGAAGGAAAATGAGGCGATAGTACCAATTTCATAGAGTTATGAGGTTTTAAGTGGGTTAAATTTTAGAAAGTACTTGCACATAATAGCTGCTATTACATAGTAAATGAATAAAAAAAAATTGATTTGGCAGAGGTGGTATTACAGCAGTAGAAAAAGAATGAACAACTCAGTGAATGGTACTGAGATCAGTTGGTTATTGTTATAGAAAAATAGTTGAAGCCTTATTTTATAGTTGAGATAAGAATCAGTTCCCAGTTGACTAAACATATGCCTAGGGAAGCCAAAATCTTAAAAAATGGAGAGAAATATTCTTGACCTCTTGGTAAATATTTTTAGGGCTAAGATACCTCCCACCCCCAATAGAAACTTGAAAGAAAAATTGATAAACTTTATAAAATTTAAAACTTTCTTGCATCATGATACTGTGAAAAAGTGAAAACTAGACCTCAGACTGAATTTTTTTCACTACACATAACAATTTATTGGGATGGTATCTGAAACAATATTCTCCTTCAGTAACTTTGTGTAATGGGTTTAGCTCATTGCAGTTGGTAAGTTGAACAACAGTGACAATATAATGAGATTATCATACTGGTTCCTACAGAAAATAACTCAGCACATTAGTGTTTTGCTGCATCAAATAAAAACAGATGAAAACGTAAATGGGAACAAGCTATGAGAGAATACAGCGTAGGTATACCTTGTTTTGTTGTGCTTCATTTTATTGCACTTCACAGATACTACCTTTAAAAAAAAATGTAGGGTTTCTTGCAACCCTGCATAGAACAAGTCTATTGGTACTATACTGCCAACAGCATTTGCATCCTATTTATGTCTTTGTGTTATGTTTTGGGTAATTCTCACGAAATTTCAAACTTTTTCATTATTTGTTACGGTGATCTGTGATTGTGACTTCTAAAACCTCAGGTGGTAGTTAGCCTATTTTCGCAATAAAGCATTTTTAATTATCTAAATTTATTTAGATAAATAGATAAATAGATTTATCTATTATGCATATAGTTTGAGACATGATGCTTTTGCACACTTTAATAGTAAAGTGTGAACATGCACTGGAAAACAAAAAAAATTATTTGACTTATTTTATTGCAATATTTACTTTATTGCCATGTTCTGGAATTGAACACACCCAGTATATGAGGTGTGCCTGGTACTATAAGAATACCCATCCATGGAACATTCTGACACCCAGTTCAGTTAGGCCATGGGATTTATTTGGAAGTGCTTGCTTACTTCGTTCATAGTTCTCAAATTTTGTGCATTGGGCTTTTGTCCCCATATTAATATTAACCCTTCCTTAGTCCTCTATTTTTAAGTAACCTATACACCCAACATGGGCCTTGAGCTCACAACCCTGAGATAGAGTCCCATGCACTACCAACTGAGTCTTTATGTCAAGCTGATTTCACCTTTAAAAAAAAAAAAATCTGGGATCCCTGGGTGGCTCAGCAGTTTAGCGCCTGCCTTTGGCCCAGGGTGCAATCCTGGAGACCCGGGATCAAATCCCACGTCGGGCTCCTGGTGCATGGAGCCTGCTTCTCCCTCTGCCTGTGTCTCTTCCTGTCTCTCTCTCTCTCTCTCTCTCTCTCTCTCTCTCTCTCTCTCTCTCTCTCTGTGTGTGTGTGTGTGTGTGTGTGTGTGACTATCATAAATAAATAAAAATTAAAAAAAAATAAAATAAAAATCCTATATCTACAGTGGTATTTTATTTATCTGGAACAAACAGAGCTTTGTTCTGGTTACAAGGTTGCATTATTGGAGTGGTGTGCCTTAACGTGGTTTTCCCATAAACCCTGTTAGTTTTAGTATATGTCTGATTTGGTAGAAAACAAGGATCATCAAAAATGTGTATACTATATTATAGCTGAAATATTTGGATAATTTGTGTAAATCTATTAAAAAAAGGCAAAATAGAAAATTTGGCAAAAGTTGTTAAGTCAATTCAGAAAAAAAAAGAAGAAGAAGAAGAAGAAGCCCAGATGGCCAGGAAACATACAAATGTAAGTTGTTATACTTGGAGAATAGTTCTGTAATAGCTATGTGCTGTATATATTCTACAGCTCAGTAATTCATCTCCTGTGTGTAATCCCTGGAGGAATTCTTGATCTTGTGCTCTAGGACAGTGCTGCTACTCAGTGTGCAGGTCCGGGGTGAAATAAAGGAGCTTGAGTCAGAATGTAAATCAATATAATACTGTCTTCGTTGAAAAAGACTTGCAGTGATCAAAAAAATAAAAATAAAAAGTGTGTTTAGAGGCAAAATTAATGGGTATTCTGACTCAAAAGCTCCTTATCTCATTGAGAAATGGTAACAGACCGCTCATGGATTAGTACTGTATTTGTGGGCCACTCTGAGTAGAACAGCTCTAAGAGACATGTATAAGATGTCCATGGAATCATTGAAAGTGTCCATCAGTAAAAGAATGGACACATAAATTGCAATATGCTTGTATTTATGGAATATTACATACAATGATAATTTCTCAATATGAGTCAAAATTACATGGCTGTAAAATAAGTGCCCATTTTAAATCACAAAGGAACCGTGAATTGTTAAAATATCTGGAGTATTTTGTTTAGTACTTATTTTTTTTCTGAGAGGGAGGTGAGGGGCAAGGGTAGTGGGAGAGGGGGGAAAGAGAGAATCTCAAGCAGACTCCACTCCCAGTGGGGAGCCTCACAGCCCTGTGATCATGACCTGAGGTATAACCAAGAGTTGTACTCTTACCTTGAGTGAGCCACCCAGGCACCCCTGTTCAGTACTTAATTTTAAAGGATATTCCAGTAAACCAGAGGACAGCTAGAGCCAAGTAAGTAGATAGAGAACAGGCTGAAAACCATCTCTAAAGCCAATTTGGGCATGATTATTTAGACAAGTCTTAATGGCAACAAATTATTTTAGATATTTAAAAGAATATTATGTGGATGAGATATGTTACTTATTTTCCTTTTTGTTTCATTATTTTTACCCACCAAACTATCCTATAAGGTGATATGAGAATAATACATAATAATTTTGCCTGTAAGCATATCAGCCAAGCCTTCTAGCTTTGTGGCATATTCAAATTTGAGAATGTGTCAACAGTGAGAATGTTGAGCAGCTTAAATTCTACTTGGGTAACTTCCTAGCTGTTGGGAAGTTACTTAACCTTATTAAGGTCTTGCCATTTATCACACTGAACTAGAACTTTCTGCAGTGATGAAAATGTTTCGTATCTTTGCTGTCTAGTAGAATAGCCAGTAACCATGTATGTGGCTTTTGAGCATTTGAAATACGGTAGTGTGACCAAGGAACTGCATTTTTCTTTAATCATGAGTTTAAATTTAGCCACATGTGGCTTGCGGCTACTGCATTAAACAGTGCAGATCTAATCACAAAATACTTTATAAATGCAATTAGATGATGGTATATTTGTGTATGTATATGTATTGTAGAATGGGATAGAATTAAAATCAAAGGCTATATTTATATGTGAGTATTGAAATACAGTCTTTTAGGGGCACCTGGGTGTGTTAGTGGTTGAGCATCTGCCTTCGGCTCAGGTCATGATCCCGAAGTCCTGGGATCATGTGCTGCATCAAGCTCCTCACAGGGAGCCTGCTTCTCCCTCTGCTCATGTCTCTGCCTCTCTCTGTCTCATGAATAAATAAATAAAACCTTAAAAAAAAAAGGAATATAGTCTTTTAAAAGATGATACAGTTAAGAATTAGAATTTTAAAATGGTTTGATTACATTGATTAGGGACATGAACAGATTGATATTTGCATGAATGAATATTTTGAAGAGAGAAATATCTGTCCACGTTTGTCACTTAATTTTGAATACTGCTTAAGTGGTAGTACTTTAGATTCTCTTTTGGTAAGGGTTGTTCTATTTAAACTACTTTATAGTGTAACTTTGCAAAGGTTGTTTCCTTAACTTCTTTGAATAATCAAAATGTGGGACGCCTGGCTGGCTCAGTGGGAAGAGCATAGAGCATGCCACTCAGTCTTAATTGTGAGTTCAAGCCCCATGTTGGGTGTAGAGATTACTAAAAATAATAATAATAAATTAAGATCAAAGTGTAATAAACAGATCTTCATCTTTTACTTACATATGGCAAATATGCTTATTTAAAATATTTTTTCTGTAAATATATATTAAGGTCAAGAAGTAAGAATTTTTATTATGGCTATTATCTAAATAATTAAACATAAGTATTTCAGTTTTTCTGGTTTTGTTCTTTTCTAGCTGCATAGATGAATGGTTTGAAGTAAATAGATCTTGCCCTGAGCACCCTTCCGATTAAGCATCAGCTTCCTGTTTTATAGGTAATTCTCTGTTTTTCTTTTCTAATTGCTTATTAAATTGTTACCTGGGTTATACATTCTTAGCCATCATTTTTATTCATTCACTTATTTATTGGAGTGTTTGTGTGTACATCCGTCTGTCCATCTGTGTCCCAGACATTGGGTTAGGTTACTGTGTAGAAAACTCACATGGAAAGAGAACATAGAAAACAAGTATATTGATTCCTGAAGAAAGTCTCATATTGAGTAACTTCTCCATTCTTGGTACTTTAAAACACATTAGCTTATTTAATTTTAGGTTAGTGCTTAAATCTGTGAAATATATGATTGGTATGAACTTCACACATGTACATATATGTAGTCATTGTAGTACATGTTACCCTGTTTTACTACTAAGAAATCTGAGGCCCAAAGTAATTAATTCCATGACTTTAAGAAGCAGTATGCACAACAGTCCAAGGTCATGCATTTAGGAAACAGAATCAGATTCTGTACTCTTACCCAAACTTTACAAGTATGTTCTTAGGTAATGCAGTATAATATTATAATTCTAATCATAATAATTAGTTGGCATTTATGTTGCATTATTATGTGTCAGACATTGTTGTAAACATTTTACACCTATTAATAACTCATCTAATTATTGTAACAACCCTTTGAGCTCAGGACTCTTGCTATTCCCATTACACAGATGAGGAAACAGAGTTATAGAGAGGTTAAGAAACTTGACTTGTCAAGCTAATTCCTAGGTAGAACTGGGATTTGAACCCAAGCATATTGGCTCCTAAGATTGTGTTCTTAACTATTTTGCTGTAATTAAGTAGGAGCATTTTCTTCAAAAAGTTGCGTCATGTATTCATTCATTCATTCAGTTTAATCTTGCACGTTAGTATATCTTCAGCCTGTTATATAGTGTGTGTGTCTATATATAGTAGAAGCAAAATGGAAAAAAATTGAATTTTAAACCAAATACAGAATGTTTTGCTCTGCTGATATCACTTATTCGTTATCCTGCATTATCTGAAAGTGTTCAGTGAATTGAATGATAAACTCACTTGACTATTGCTATTTTCCATATTCCATGAAGTGAGTTAAATGAATAATTTAGCTTTGAAAAAGTAACTTCACATATATGAAAAGCTTTTTGTGAGAAGACTTGCAGAACTGACATAAAGCATTGGGTTTTTACATCAAGGCAGAACATTTTAGCCAGCGCTGGAATAGTTTCAGGAATTGGAGCCTCTATGTTCAGAGACTTAAGATGGTAACCAACAAGTCTTTACTGAATGGCTAGGCCTGAAGACAGAAAACTGGAGCAGATTGTTGCCCTTAATGAGGATAATTTAATAGCAGCAGATTAGAGTATTGAAAGAGGAGATTTGAGGTCACTGAAGAGCTGTTTGTTATAGCAACCAAAGTAAGAACTGCAACATGAAATGAGACCTCTTCACAATTAAAGTGGGTCTCCATGGGAAATGTGAAAGCCATTGTAAGCTGGAGGGTACGAGAAGACTATTAGCCTTTGGAACTTTTACTGTGAGGTGATTCACATCATATTGACACACCAGAGGTGTAAATTGGGATAAGATTGCCGTGTAAAGGAAGTGTGGCAGTAGAATGATACTTTTGAGTATATGTGTAGGTATGTTTGGATTTCACGATGAGCAGGTTTTTTGAAGAGGAAGATGCTTTTGGTGTATCTTTAGTGTAACCTTACGTCTGGGCCAATAAACTAAAATTATGACTAAAATTATAGAAGCATTTTAAGAGAAGTACTAAAAACTAATGCTAATAAATGAAGTTTTTATCTTAGTATTTTACATACCAAGGTAATAGGTCTAAAGTTTTCACCTATAGGTAAAATGTATTTTAGAGGCAATAAACTTTTTTGTGTGAGGTGGGATTTTATGGTCATCAAGTTTTTATTTCATGGTCCAATCAGCTAAATTTTTCCTTTAGTGTCACAGTGAGCCCATGGATATAAGGAACATGAGTCTCCTCTGGTAGTCAATATGCATGTTGGTCTTAAATAGCATTTCATTTTTCTTACCTTAGGTATCAGTATTTTCTTTTTACTGACTTTTTTTTTTTTTTAATAGAATCTGAGTGGGACACCTGGGTGGCTCAGTGGTTGAGCCTCTGCATTTGGCTCAGGTCGCGATCCCAGGGTCCTGGTATCCCACATGGGGCTCCCTGCAGGGAGCTTGCATCTCCCTCTGTCTATGTCTCTGCCTCTCTCTGTGTGTCTCTTATGAATAAATAAATTTTAAAAATCTTAAAAAAAAAACACACCTGAGTTTGCTGGCACTTGCCCTTAGAAGTCTTATAAATCAATGGACTCTATTGGTCTTGAAGAGTCATTTTTACAAATGTACAGTTATGGAATATTTTGACTCAGATTTTTGTTTCTGTTCTGACTGCTCTTATTTATCAAATGATAAATTTCTCCTATCCCTTTTGCTGTGCCAGATTAAATGTGTGCATTTGAAGAGGATTTATAACTAGAAGATTAGAAAAAAAAGGGAACATCTAGCAGCATGTGCAGCATTTCTGATACTCTTCAGCATAAGTATTTAATGGATGGTCCAAGATAGAGATCCGTAACTGTCTAAGGTTTTGATTAGTTAGAAATTGTTTACTGTTTTTACTTGAGGTTGTTCGTTATTTAGGGAAAGGTTAATAGGTGGTGTGTAGGTGCTTGTGTGTTGTGTGTTTGCTGTACTCTGGAGTGGTCTTTATTGCAGAGGGGAAATGACTCTTATGTGGTGGCTATTTTTGTGACTATTTTAAGCTTTAATTGGTCCTTCTGTGACCTTTATCTGTTCTTTTGCAGAACACTAATTTTAGGAGTTTTTAGAACAGTAAGTAAGTATCTGAAAGCGTCTTGCAACTAAAGCCTTGTTCCTAGGGGAAATGGATCTTCTACTTTGATTTGTATTAGTATCATGGACTACTGCTTAAACCTCATGCATCTGCTTCTGCGCAGGTTTTCTTGTCTTTCCAAGATGCTTGAAAAACTGAGAGGACATGAGGATCTGTCTCTGGAGAAAGAAAACAAAACTGCAGGCATACTCAGCCCGAAATCTGAGTTCTGTGACTCTTGGTGATGCAGAGATGGACAATCATACAGGGAATAACCCTGCTGAAGAGAGGACAGTTGCCACAGAACTCACTGTACCAAACATGCATATAAAGGACACACAGGGATTTTGAAAATGCTGCACATCCCTTAATAGTCATCTACATAGGTAACGCTGATAAACATTTTGTATTCAGACGCCAAAGTTAACTGATTTAGAAGTTGATTTTATTAAGTTGTCTAGAGCCGCGCCACTAGTTGTGTTTTGACTTGTATTTTAGTTGGGGGGTCACTTTATTTTCCCCAACATGATGTTTCTGCATTCATCTCTTCTTAAACTGAAGACCACATAATGTACTTCTTATAAACTAAAGTCTTAAATGTGAAACCAAGATATGTAATCAAGCAGTAAAACATTCTCTGAATGTAGACCATGATCTCAAGTTCTTCTGTTTTTATCCCCAGGAGTATAAAATAGACTTCTACGTAGGAGAGCTAAAACATGGTAATGTTTGAAATTAAAGGTTGAACAGTATCAGAATGCAGTCCAAAGAGTAAATCACGTTACATAATGACATTTTAATGAACTAAATCTAAGATTGTCTATTGAATTGCGATTAAATGTATTATTTCCTCTTAAGTAAAACTGCTCAGTAGTTCATCAGTAATGAATCATCCTGCAGCTATGCAACTTTTTAAAAAATACAAATTACCAATTTTAAGTGCTGCCAGCTATAACTTTGTTTTAACGGGTATTTTTATTTGTTCTTTTCATGTAATTATTTTATTGTGCTTTGCATCTCCAGTTTCCCACATTTGGGTAGAATGTTTAGGAGGTTAGTAACTTATGAAAAGGGTAAAATAAAATTTTCTTGGGTGGAACTTGGAATAATTTGAGAGACATTTTATATACTTCTAAAAATCTGAATTTAATTGGGATGCCGGATTTATAGCAATTTGCATCTTTAATTTTCCAGGTAATCTGGAGGTTAGTGTTTGATAAATGATTTTTTAAAGCAAATATGAAGATTTTGTTAATTTATAATTTATTAATATGTTATTACTGTAATTGAAAATGTTACAGAGACTTTTAAATTCAGTCTTGTGTAGAAAGAAATGTATTAAGCAAAATTATGTGAATAAATATTCCCACAAAATACATCTGAATGGTTAAAAAATACTGGAAGAGAGCTATCAGGGCTTACAGTAGTGAATGTCTTTTTTTTTTTTATACAAAAAGATACCAATATGTAGATTTCATATTTTCAACGTACAGGGAAAATGTTATCAGTGAACATTTAAGCAGTGCACTTTACTTGATATAATTGAAAGTTGCACAGTACTGTTTCCTTATTTTAAGCTTGCTTTATTTAAGCATTTGCTTTTCTATTTAATGCTGCTACTCTTATTCTCAATTTTTTTTCCCTGTTCTGCTTCTGTTTCATACTTTTTGAAAGGGCACGTTCAGGAGCAACTGCTGCTACCCAGAAAAATTGGTGGTTTTGAAGCAATTGAAAGAGTTTTTCATTGCTTTCTGTGTAATTCTAGACCAGATAACATTTTCCTTAAAGTTATGCTGTGAAATGCCTTTTGTTATGCTGCAATTGATGAAAGCATCCCAAGCCTCCTTTGTGACAGCTGACAGCATGATTTCATAGGTGCTTTTTAAACCAGTTTTGGGAAGTAATTTTCCCTTAAGGAAAATATCCTTTCCTTAAATTTTTTTCTGTTATCATGAAATCTGAATATGAATCCATTTTGTTTCACATTTTTAATTTTGTAAGCTTTCACACAGAACACACATAACCACTCACCCCAGGAAAAAACCTCTTAGAATATTCTGTGAATAATTCATTTTTTTCTATACTGGTATATTGTTATAGTAAGAATTGTTTTGTCATCTTCCATTCTTAAAGATAGAGATTAACTCTGCCTCTGGTAATGACCTATTCATATTCTCCTGGAAGTTGATTTTTCTGATACGATTTCCTCCTTGACTTTTAATCTTCTAATACTTCGTTCTTTCCCATCTTTGTCCTGTCCGGCCCTTTAGCCCTCTTGGTCTCTCTCAGCCTCTGACTGCCCCACGGTTCTGTGCTGCAGCTGCTGCGGTAGAAGCTCCTGTGCTTTAGAAGAGAGTTCAGTGTTTATCTATGTCGAATGCGCCTTGGTTATTCTATTTGTCTAGAACAGTATTAACTTAAAAAAAATCTGTTGATAGCAATCCCTTTTTTTGTTAAAATTGACAGAGGTTAGCGTTTTTTACTTTAAGTTCAGTCTCCATCAGTGATTCCCTAAAGTTGAGAATTTAGAAATTGAAGAATAAGTTTTTATAGCCCAGATACTCCGGTTTTTACTCAAAGTCGCTACCCTGGAAAATATTATAATATTCTACACAATGTCACTTACAATATTTGTAAATCTGTGTGTGGACACTGAATAGTCTAAGTAGGATATAAAAATCACATTAGATATTTAAGTATGTAGCTTGAAACTACTGACAACGGGGTATTATGGAGACAAAATAAAGATTGAAAACCTAGATTACCAAATTGGTGATAGCTTTCTAGAATCTTTGTAAATACATGTTTTCCAGTAAGATCGCACTCGCGTATTTAGAAAGCAAGATGTTCTGAAATTTCACTTTAGTGCCACTCTTTATAATGGGCTTATGCCAATTTTGACTCCTCATTTTTCTTTCATCTGGCTTTTTGGGTTTTTTTGTTGTTGTCAGAATGTGTAAGAGATAGTAAGATTATTCTTACTTTTGACTTTTTGCCAGAGAAATTAGACTAATCCTCATCTTAATCTATGTTTTTTCTGATCTGGTTATAAATCCGACATAGATTGTATTTTAAGAGCAGTGTCTGTGATTGAAATATAAATAATGATTTCTATAATGATTTTCTTGTGATAGTTGAACAACATTTAAAAGGCCATGTTGTAAACTGTTGCATGCTATTTGGGTTTTGGTTTCTTAGTGCAAATCTTATATTTCTTTTAAAATGTTAAAGTTACTTTAGTTCTCACCTGCTAAACACACTTTATTAGAATGTAATTCAAAATGCCCGAGGGTGCTGCACCATCAGCATGTTTGCAATATGTATTTTGAGAAGATTTCAGGTTAAAAATGTTTTAGTGAAAATGGCAGATTCCTTTTCAAAGCTTATTTTTCTTTCTAAATTTGGGTATAGTGAAGTTTAAGAGCAGTCATTTAAATTAACATACTGTATAGCAAAACTAAGAGATACTTCTTTAAATGAAAAAGATAGTAAATTAAGTGTAAATAATACCTAGTTTTATTTACCACCTTGGAGAGTTGAAGAAAGAAAAGTTCCTAACAGTAAGCTACTATGTTCGAACAAAGCATGAAACTCTTTTTAAAAACTCAATAATTGAATTTCCTGTGATTGATAACCCATATTTATGCATCGAAGATAATATCCACATCATATTTTTCCACAGAGGAAGTTTCCATATAAATCAGATTATTGGGAACTTTGTAAAACTGCGTAGAGGTAAATGTTGCTTATTAATTGTGAATACAGTTTGTTAGTTGCAGGAAATCTTCCAGTGCATTGGGGCCATTTTCTTGCAGTTTTATCTATCCTGAGGTGAACTCAGTACATATTGAGAATGTGTTAAATGTGAAATGTCCCTTGTTCTTGTACAGATACTTTTGAAGTTTTAAAAAATTCTAGCATGCCAATATTTTGTCTTTGGCCCATCACCTCCACCCCTTAATTGAAATGTATAACTTCTGATTTTTTTCTTTGCTATATTGTGAATACTAATAATAGTTAAATTGTCTGTTTTATTGTCTACTTCTCTATCCAGATCTTTTCATTCTAAAACTATATTGCTACTTGGTTTTCTGTAGAGGAAATTGCTATTTGGTGTACTAGTGATTCTAATTGGGGAGCAGCTGACTGGGTAAAAACTTTTGGTAATAACTGACCGAGACAGTACTTTGAGTGCCATGTTCTGTGAATACTCTGCTTAAGCTGGGAAGCCGAATGTTCTTTTTAAATCACAGAATTCTTGAATTGAATTGGAAATACCTAGTCTTTGAAGTCCAGCTGATTCTCTGGAAAGAATTAAAAGCACTGAGGAAAACCAGATATGTCAATATTAAGTTTTAACTGAAACATTACTATATTTAAGAGAGTTTGTATACTTTCAGATATTTAAGCCATCATTAATTTTAGACCAATTGCTAAAAATAAGATCAATTGTTGATTGCTTGTTTATAGAGAAGGAAAGAGCAGTATGGCATAAACTCACATCCCAGTAATAAAGGAAAATTTTTAAAGTGATATTAGTATCTGTCAGCCAGCCTTGCGCTTCTTAGCTCTGCCCTGGACTGTGAGATACCTGTTAGAACCCCAAGTCTTAGAATCAAAAGTGACTGATTTCTCCTATTATAAATTTTCATGCCTGTCCTTTTGATTTGATATGCTGAGATTGACAAGTACCAATGGTTTCTGTTTACAAACTTATAGTTCTGCCTTTGCCCTGGTGCTAGCATCTTGAAAAGGTTACATTTTTAGTAGCATTTTGAGCACCTATGTGCATATGATACAGTTAACAGATCCTTTAGGGAGATTAAAAGAGAGTTTGGAATTTGATGATGGTATTGATCTTTAATACAGAAGTCCATTACATCTTATTTCTTTGCAATGACTATATGAGTATCAGTTTTTTTAGAAAACCACAGTAATAATAGATATTGACTTCATTGCTTTTGTTCATGATTTCAACAACTCTTCTGTAATACCTCTTAATTTCCTCTATTAGAAAGTATTTTCCTGTTAAATTAAAATATCCAAAGGATCCATCACAAGAAATATAGAATATGTATTAGGAACAGCTTGTATGTTCTAAACTAAAATGGAACAGTTCATTACTGATTTTTTTAATAAATAAAACTTCCATATGATCTTGCCAAATTATCCTCTTATTTAGAAATAGAAAATAAGAGAATGTTTCCAAGGAAATTTGTCATATCCACTGTAATGTCTAGAAGTTGATAGTATATTACAGTAAAACTGAGAATTATCTGATTGCTGAAAGGTTACCATGAATGAACATGTCACAGTTTCTTTAACTATTTTTTTATGCCCATTTAGTTGAATTTCTGTAACAACTTAAGAAACAACTGTAGTGGTAATGAACCAAGAGTAACCATAAGTAAAAATGTACTTTGAAATTTCTAATGTGAAACCCAATTTGTAAAAATTTTTTAATTGAGATATGATTGTAGTAGAGCTATTAAGTTTTGGGGAGGGATGGTCTATCAGTGTATAATCATAACTTTACAAATTTAGATTGTACTTGGTAGTGTTACATTATGTTTTGAAAAGAAGAATATTAATCTTTGGAAGCACAGGTTTCACGATATAAGGCTACTGTTTGTAGCACAGTGGTTAAGAACATGGGTTCCAGAGCCAGACTCCCTGGTTTTGCTATGTCTGTGACATTGGATGAGATGCTTAACTCTCTGTGCCTTGCCTTTGCCTATAAAAAGAGGTAAAACTACTGCCTACCTCAAGGTTTTTGTGAGGATTCATTGGGAAGGTACATGTATGCACCACAGACACACAACACGTTAAGCACTTAATAATGTTAGTGGTTATTATAGACAATAAAAATATTTGTGCCCGTCTATGAATAAATTGTTATTCTCTCCAGTCATAAGATGCAGGATTAACGTCTTAGACTCTAGCTGATGTGCTTTTAAAACCTACGCATATAATAGAGGACATTGTGGATTCTGTTCTTCCTTCATGCTAAAATCTAGAGATTAACTCTCCCAGCAATTATTAAGCATACTTGGTTCTTGGACTGTTAGGGACCAAGATTACAGAATTGCAAGATAACTAATCTCTAAGACCTTTTTTTGTTTTTTTTTTTTTAATATTTTATTTGTTTTTTTTTTTGAGAGAGAGAGAACAAGCAGGGGGAGCAGCAAGGGGAGAGGGAAAAACAGGCAGCCCACTAAGCAGGGAGCCTGATGTGGAGCTCGATCCCAGGACCCCCCGGATCATGACCTGAGCCAACGGCAGACACTTAACCAACTGAGCTCCCTAGGCACCCCAACTAACCTCTAAGACCTTAATCTTTAGTGGGAGAAGCAAATAAGTGAGCATATAATAAAGATTGCTGTTATAGACATATACACAAGGTATAGTGGAGGTAGTGAGGAAGGTCATTAAACTAGGCAAGAGAATGATTAAAGTCTTGAAGAACGAATAGATCATACATAGCTCCAGGGGATATGGATAAAAGGACATGTGCAGTGGGAAGCTTGGGAAGGGTATTCCCAAGCAGAGAGCATAGTTCAGACAAGCAGGACATTCTTGGAGAGTTGCTAGGTCTAGAGAGGTAAGCAGATGGCAGAGCACGAAGGGATGCATGTGCCAGACTACAATTGAAAGGTCTTAAGCAGGGAAAAGGACCATCAGATCTACTCATCAGATTAGAGAGGAATGAAACTAGAGGCAGAGAGACTTTGTTAGAAAATTTATAGCAGTTCAGGTAAGATAAGGAAAGGCAAAACTAAAGGAATGACAATAGGGAAAGGAAAGAGGAAGAACTTAAACTTAGTAAAATGAACTCATCTTGCTGTATTCATTTACATGTGCAGGATGAAAGGGCAAGACCAGGACAGCTCCATCTGTACTTTCTCCATGTTGGGAAGTGTTGAATCTTAAGGACAGGGTATCTCTACTTGGGGAAAGCTGATCATGTCAGAAGTATCTCCTGGAGAACCAGAGATAACACTACTAAGAAATCGGATCTGAAATGGGAAGCAGAGCCTTGAGAGAGAAACCAGACAGGAATAGTTGGCAAGTTGCGAGAGAGAGAGAGAGAGAGAGAGAGTGTGTGTGTGGTGTGGGGTGTGTGTGTGTGTGTGTGTGTGGCTATTAGGGTTCAGAAGTTATTGAGACACAAATGTTGCCAACACTGTTAGAAGAGTCAGTAAGTGCGTGATAAGTAGGGTACACTGCGCCAGTGTAATGGCATCTAGCTTGGTTGAGTTGGACCTCTCCCAACAGCCCATCCTCACATTCTCCCTTAACTTCATATGCCTTTTGGAATAGGGCTGTGTTTTCTCAGGCTGGCATGGTGAAATGCTGAGTTGCATTCTGAAGCGTTAATGAGTTTTTCTCTTTGGTTCTTTTGTCCCAGATCCTTTCCATTATGCCAGTCTTCTCAGCCACTCACAACAGAAGAAAGTTCCTGTTGGAAGTAGAGTATTTGTAGAAGTTGTTATACAGGAATAATGGATGCTACCTGCAGTAGATAGATTAGGCTAGGCAAGAGGAGGGCCAGAAGAGGTTTATTAGTTCCTGGAAGGCTGTGGGTTGCCAATGGGTATTCATGATTATCTTTGTTTAGTGAAGGACAGAAAAAGGGGACTGATAACTTTATATTTAGTCCCTGGAGAAGCAGCAGATATCTTAGGAAATCCTTGTATTATATTAGGTCAAGGAGTCCATTCTCACAGATTCCCTAATCTAATACAACACATCTGTAGGGACACTAAACTTTCACAGGTTTCTCCAAATTGGTTCAAAGATGCATGGGTTGGTAACTTGGAACTTCCTAGACCAGGAATTCCTACAAAGCAAGGCCTGTGAGAATAATAGAAACTTAATACCTTAGAGAGAATTGTCCTAAAATGTAAGAAAAAAAACTTATATTCATAAATATCATTGCATGATTTAAGATTTGACTTCTCACATAAAATGAAAATACTTTTTCTGCAATACCTTAATGATGCTGTGATTATCAGACCGTTGTTAAATTTTGCCTTATAGTGCCTTATTCTTGTTCTTTTCTATGAACTTATGAATTCAGTGTTCATTATTTTATGAGAGTTAAAAAGTACCTGATCAAAAAATAACTTTCCAACAAAGTCAGTTTAAGACTTAAATCCCTTCTGATTGGCTTGAAAACTTAGTAGCTGGGTAACTGAAAACAAACTATGCTGCTAGCCATGCAGATTTGCTTTTCAGAAAAATATCAAAGAACTGTATGCCATGAACCTTTTAAAGTAGCTCATTTATAATTGAAGTGTTATTAAATCTGTAAATGTTAAGGATATTCATTATCCAAATAGAGGATATCCATCAAGGAAGTCAAACAGCAAACAGTTCATCCATTGTTGAAGTTCAAACATTGCAAAGGCTAATAAAGACCTTCTTCGGGTGTTTAAATATCCAAACTATTGTCATTTTAACATGTAATCAGTACAAAAATTGCCAGTGAGATATTTTTAGATCTTTGTTCAGTCTTTGAAATCTGATACATATTTTATAGCACATCTATATTTGGAAATAGTCTATATTTTAAGTACTCAAGAGCCATTTGCAACCAGTGGCTGATAGGTACATGAGTCTGGGAGGTTGGTTTTCCACTCTAATCTGTCATCAGATAAATATTTTTGAAGGTTTTATAATTCTAATTTGGTAAAGACCTTAATCTCTGAAGGTTAATTAGGTACCATGCATGAGCAGATCTAGTCCTGTTGTCCCTAAACTGAGTCAGACTTTTCTAATTTTTTCAGTGAGGCTACAAATATCTTGAAAAGGTTGATGATTTAAGGAATCCTTTTTATTTGCATTCACAGATGTCACTGGCTTTTGTTATAGCTACAGCGTCTTGGTAAAGATGCACAAGCTCTGATCAGTGTTATAGTTAGGAGTTGATGTGTTTGTGATGGCCAACAGGAATTGTGGAAAGTGCCAATGAATAGCTCTAGTCTCAGTTGCTCCCTGTGTAGAGCCTTGTGGAGACAGTTGCATGAGTTTCAGGCCTTCTAGTAGTAGTTAACTTTGTACCACATCCATGCTTAAAATGCTAAGCTTGTCAAACAGACCCTCTTTCACAAAACTGACACTTCCTAATCCAGCTTTGAGAGACCCCCGGTGGTGAAGTAAGATGCTCCCTGGTTTATGTGGGTATTCTGTGCTTGAGCGCCCTGATAAAAGGAGTCATTGGGTGGAATTGCCAGGGAGTTTATCCACAAGGGTGGCTACACGTGGGAAGACAGATAGATATATTGCTCTCTTCAACTTTGAGATCCCTGTAAGCAATAGTGCTTATTAACACTTGGCTGAAAATTAGATCAACTTGGGACATAGGAAGGGGAGACCATTGTTTTTTCTTTTTAAATGGTGTGATCTTGTTGTACAGCCTATATACAACTATATCTCGGGGTTTCTCACACATACTCCAAATGGAGTGTCAGCCCTTGGGGAGGAGAGTGCCAAGCATGTCACAGACCTCTACAGCTAAGATCTAGCTACATTTCCTGCAATTCTCTTTCCTCAAACTTTTGGCTCTTTTTGAATGAGAAAACTATTCCTTTATCATTACCCATTCTTCCCAGCTCTGTGGTTCATAGAATAAAACTGCCTGATTCAGCCAGGCTGAGGTCCTTGAATTTTTTTTTTTTTTTCACTTTGCCCACCAAGTTTGTAGGTTCCTAAAAGCCCTTTCTGCCTCCAGCCCATGGCTGTTAGCCTTTTAGTTTTCGAGTTCATGTTTCTTCCTTTGACTTAAAAAAAAAAAAGTTTGTTTTATGCTCATTGTGTCTCCCCACTGAAGCAGCAGCTGCCAGTGAGTCACTGAGTGAGTTGCCATAAGCAACTAGGAACAAAAGGCATGAAAAATGGCAGCAGTTAATAATTCAGAAATAGCATTGCTACATCACAGCAATCACTAGAAAGCCACTGTAGGTAACTGTTTGTGAGTATGTGAGTAGCTGTAGCGTGATTTTCATTCGTAGAGCTATGTTGGAAATCTTGAAGTCTTCTCAGCCTAAAGATGAATGTGTGGGAGTTACTTGAACTGGAATGCAGGGTGAACTGAAGTGTTGGTTCATTCATTTAGCACATATTTTTTGAACATTTTATAGATGTGAGACACTGC